TTCCTCCTGCTTCATTGGAACTTTGAAAAAAAAATTTATTTATTATTTTTATTTTATGTGTATGAGTATATTGCCTGGATGTAGGTAGGTGCACCTGTGTCATGCAATGCCCATGGAGGACAGAAGAGGGCATTTGATCCCCTGGAACTGGAGTTAGGACAGTTGTTAGCCACACTGTGGGTGCTGGGAATCAAACCTGGTTTGATGGCTCTTAACTGCTGAGCCATCTCTCCATTTCCTTCATTGGAACTTTTAGTAGTTCTCTTGGGCTTCTTTTGTGTCTATTCATCCAGCTATAACATTCTCAGTTCTCTAATTCCCATTTCGACTCCAGATGCTCTTTCTCTTGTGGAATCCTGCCTCTTGATTTGTGTCTCTCTAGCAAGTTGTGAAAACCAGAAGGAAAAATGTTGGGGCGGGGAGGTTTTTTGAAGTCACCACTGTGAATCTGAAATGCATTAATGGTGGGGGATGTGACCACTGGGCGATAGGATGAGGGACTTTCTCTTCCACAGGTGTCCCCACTCTTTGGAACCATCTATGATGCTGTCATCCTGGTGGCCCATGCCCTGAACCGCTCTGAGAGGCATCAAGCAGGGCTCTCAGGGGCTCACTTAGGGGACCACATAGGGACTCTTGATGTTGCTGGCTTTAGCCAGAGGATCCGGATGGATGAAAAGGGCAGAAGGCTAGCCCAGTATGTCATCCTGGATACAGATGGTGAAGGAAACCAACTGATGCCCACCCATATTCTAGACACAGAAACATGGCAGGTGCAGTCCCTGGAAAAGGCTATACATTTTCCAGGAGGGGATCCTCCGGACCATGACTCCAGCTGCTGGTTTGACCCCAACATACTATGCATGAGAGGTAATTCATCATCTGCCCACCACTCACTCTTCCATCCATCCACACATCTATCCTTCCTTCTGTCCATCTGTCCACCCATCCTTCCATCTAACCATCCATTCATCCATTCATTTACATCTTTCTATCCATCTACCACCTACCTACCTATACACTCATCTAATCATCTATGCATCTATTCATTAATCTACCCATCTATCCATCTATCCACTCACTCCTCCTCTGCTAAAGTTCTCCACATGGACAGTCTTACATGAATGGCAGGAGCAAGTGTAAAGAAGGGCCATGACCCTTCATGGAAAGGCCTGACCAGTAGCTGAAAAGAACTAGGGGAGACCAGCAGGGCCTCCCTTGGACAAACAGGGCTAGAGACTCTCCATGCTTGCAGATCTATAAAATGCCCCACAACCTTCTGACTAGGCCATTGCCCTCCACAGACACAATAGGAGAATTGAAGCTCAGAAAGTCTTGGTGACTTGCTATGGGTCACACAGGGAAGCCGAGTTCATTCTGGACCCATCTACTGACTCCAAGTACAGGATTATTTTTCCTCATGACCACTGGGAAGTATGGGACAAGAGGCCCACACAGGTGTGATTCCTGTCACTCATCCACTCTAAGTGTCATCCTTGATGACACTGCACTGACTTCGATGTGACTAGGCACACAGAGAAGTGGATGCACACACACACACACACACGGATGCATGCATGCACACACACATGCACATGTGCATAAACACATTCTCTAGCACACACCTGATCACCATTATAGTAGTCACAGGCTTGTGTAGTTTGTCCCTATCATGCCTCAAAATTCTTGTGCTCCCTCTTGTCCTGCACTCAGCTAACCTTGCTCTTCCAGTCCCAGTTCACAGGCATGGAGACTCCTGAATTTTCTTGAATACACACTGCCTGGCAGGCCTCCCTTGAAATGGAATGATTCTCCTCCTGACCTTCTCGCCCCAACCTTGCCTCTCTACTGCTTTGTAGTGTGTGTGTGTGTGTGTGTGTGTGTGTGTGTGTGTGTGTGTTATCAGGGGCTGAACCCAGGGCCTTGCTCATCATAGGCAAGTGTTCTACCACTGAGCCATATCCTTGGCCTCTTTTGTCCTTACAGATAAGCTCTTCCCTGGGTCCAGAGTATCATGGGTCCAGATAGCCCCAGGATCCAGAGTATCATGCTCTTAGTGAGAGTACACAGCCAGGCAGGGCTGGGCTCATCTGCCTCCCAGACTGAATGTGAGCACCAAGAAACCTCCAGGGAAGGGATCAAAGCCCTCACTTGCCCCTCTTTTCTTGTACAAAAAGTGATCACAGCCCCCCCTGCCCCACCCTGCTCAATCCTGGGAGTAGGAGAGAACAGGACAAAGACCCTGCTCTCCCAGCTGATACTCTTGAGGACAGACCCAGGCTGGGCTCTCCAGTGGCTTCGGTCTGTGACGGACAGGGACAGCTAAAGACCACACAGGACAGAGGGTTGGGAGGGCAGGAGGGCAGTGAAGTGGACAGTCCCTGCGATTATGACCCCTGTCTGTCTCTGCTTCCCCACAGGTGTACTGCCCCTGGGAAGCCTCCTGCCTGTGGTACTGGCCTGTGTCCTGGCACTGGCTTGTGGAGTCCTTGCTTACTTCATTAGGTGAGATTGCTGAGCCTGGCTCAGGCTATCTGTGTCCCTGCCCCACAGGATCTCCCTCAGCAACCTGCAAGGGCTTTCCTACTGCCCTCCTCTCCATCTCCAAGCTGCACTCAGGATGAACCAGGAGCCCTGGCTCCTCCTGAGAGGCCTGTTTGAAACCTGAGGAAGAAGCCTGTGATATTGGACAAGACTCTAGCCCTGAACTTCAGGCTTCCATCTGTACTATGAGGGGCTGGCAGGCCCATCCTGAAGGCCCCTCAACTTCAAAATCAATTCCCCCCTCTGTGTGCTTGAATGGAGATTATCCAGAACCTTAGCCACATCTGCAAGGGGGCAGCAGACTTCTGTTCTCATCTCTACCCCCATGGGACCTCCAGGAACGTGTGGAACATTGAGGCTGGGGAACAGTAGGCACATCAGGCCCTGGGAAGTTGCAGACCCAAGTCTAAGGCCAAGGGGCTCTTTGAAGACAGTACTTGCTGTTCTTCCAGTTCAGCTGGCCCTGAGGGAGACAGAGAGAAAGAGACTCATGGAGGGGGGTGAGGAGGTGCTCTGGGTCAGAGGCAGAGTCCGTAGCTGAACTAAGGCTGCACTTTCTCTCACCTCCAGGGTAAGCTTCCAGCAGCTGAGGCTGGTGCCGGGCCCCCAAAGGATCCTGCTGACAGAGCAGGAGCTCACCTTCCTCCACCGAACCCCCAGTCGACGAGTGGGTGGGCAGACTTGGGCTGGGTGGGCAGGGAGGGGCACAGGCCTTGTCTTGGCTCTTGACCACCCCTACATTTGCCCTAGAGGCTTCATGTGGACAGTAGAAGTGAGTCGAGAAGTGCAGTGGATGGTGGGAGCCCAAGGTCCGTGGCTCAGGGGTCAGCAAGGAGCCTGCCAGTCCCCCCGGAGCATACCAACGTGGCCCTGTACCAGGTGAAGGCTACTAACACCTCAGACCAAACCTAGAAGGCTGTGTCTGGTTTTGAAGAATTCAATCAAGGACACAGCCTTTGGCCTCTGTGGGTCCCTATTGTTGGGGCTTTCCTGGGTGCCATAGCATGGTGGCAACCTGGAGGCAGAAAAGGGGACTCCCAATTCCCACCATTATGGTTCATGAGCTGATCTTGGGAGTCAACCAGTCCCTGCCACTTGGCCTTGGCCTCAGCCCAGGTCACCCACTTGCCTGCTCAAGCACAGTGAGACCTCGGGGTAGGGGCAGCACCCAACCAAAGATACCTCCAGATAGAGGCCAGGCCTCTGGTTGACAAGGAGGCTGCAGAGTCAGGTTAGACAAAGCTGAAGATGTTAAGAAAGTCATTTTTCATGTGTTGTTAGTCTCAAGCTATTCACTAATATCTGATTCTTACAGCCTGTGGCTACCACGGTTTCTAGGCTGGGCTAATTGTTTCCATAGAAAGCAACAAGAGGCTTTTGTTGCTTATTTCCTACCTTTCCCCCTGGCAACCCACTTTTTTCCTTTTTCTACCAAAAGGAGGCTTCAATGACTCACAGAGAACAACAGCCAGTGGGCTACAGGTCACCAGGGACAGGGCAGAGGGCTGGGGCCACAGTGAGTGCTGGCTTCCTCCTCTGCTGCCCCACCTCTCACTCCTATCTGGAGCCCCTGAGTCACAGAGCCCCCCCACTCCACAGCCTGGGATGTCATGGGGTGCCTGAGGCCTGGAAAGTAAAGCTGACCTTCAGGCAGGGGCCGTGTTTCCTAGATACATCTCATTAGCCTTCTAGAGATTGTCTCCCTTGCTTTGCACATTTGGAAGCTGAGGCTCTAGGGTGGTAGAGTAAGGACTGGGTCTCAGGTCAGTCGGTGGAAACCTGGGTCTGGCCCTGCCTAGGTCTCAGTAGAACTTTACCTGTTGTTTCCACTGACCAGGCTGGACCCAGCTCAGAACATAGAAGGGGCACAGACATAGAGAAGACACCAAAGCCCAGAGGTGGTGGGATTGTCCTCAGGTCACTGGGCTAGGAAACTATAGCAGGCAAACCCTTGTTCTTGGTCGGCAGGGAGACTGGGTATGGCTGAAGAAGTTTGAAGCAGGCACAGCCCCCGAGCTTCGGCCAAGCAACCTCAGCCTCTTGAGAAAGGTAGGATTGCAGAGTGAGGGCTACAAAGGGCTGGGGAGGCATGAGCTTAGGACACCCTCACTGGTCCCCATCCATCTCTACTCACTGGGGATGCTTCTGATGTCAGAGAATGACAGTCATTGCTGTCCTCATGATCACCTGGTGTCCACATTTCATCAATCAGAGACCATCGCGGTCACCATCACACCCCAGCATTTCTCAAGCTGCATCACCCCCACATGAGCCTTCCTCCACTGCAATGGAATCTGAATACTCCCCGGGGTCCTTAGCCTGTTACTCCCTCTATCCACTCATCCCTATATCTATCTGATGTTTACTTATACACCAGACAGAGTTCTCAGCTTTGGAGAAGAGAGATTCTTTTTTGAGGGAGCTTCGTCTCCATCACTGAGCACTAGGAAGAGCCTAGGCAGACCCTGGATGGTGTCCTGCCTCCGTGGAACACATGGCTTCCCTATAAGATGGAGCCAATACTCCCCAGCCCAGAAGAACTTTGAACAGAACAGGGAATGTATAGAACAGCTTAGAACTGTCCCTGGACAGTGGCATGTGTTTGAGAAATGGGGTATTTCATCCATTTGTGCCTTTTGTTATTTTTTATTATTTCCAACATCATTACTATCTAAAATGAAGTTCAGAGAGATTAAGTGACTAGAAGTAGTTAGGTATTTTCCAAGAGATATCTTATAACCCACGTGAGTAATTTTCTAAGGTGGAAAGGTCCTATAGGTGACTTGGGGGTCACCCAAGTTTGAGACTTGCTTGGGTTAGCCATAGAACTTCTCAGAACTTTTACTATGCCATTCTGGTTATCTGACACTGAGTAACAGTGTACCCTGAAATGCAGTGGCTTAAAACAGTGATCATTTTATATTACAATCTTGTAAGAAATGTGGGCATGGCTCAGCTGGGTGATTCTCTTCCTCTTTGACATGGGTGGGGACCACTCTGTGGTGCTCAGCTGCTAAAGGGCTATCAGAAATTAGCAATCCATGGCCCGTAGGCCAAATCTGGCCACTGCTTGCTTTTATAAATAAAGCTTTATTGGGATATAGCCATGCTCTTTCCTTTGTGTTCGGCTGTTTTCCTGCTATGGTAGCAAAAGTGAGCATTTGTGATGGAGATATGCAAAGCCTATCTGGACATTTCAGAAAACCTTGCTGATTCTCAGTCCCAGGGGCTTTAAGTGGCTCCATTTGAAGGCAGGGCAGTTGAAGACTGAGCTCAGCTGGACCCGACCTCCCCTTTCCTGTCTTTCGGAGCTCTCAACCTGGTCTCTCCAGAGTGACTCAGGGCAGGATTCTATACTTACAGTATTGAAGGAGACAGGAAATGGAAGTTGCCATTTCCTAAGGCCTAATCGCAGAAACATACAAAACCACTTCTGTGTTCAGTGGCTCACACTAGTCACAGAAAACACACTCAAGGAGAGGGACAGGATTCACCTCTTGATGGCAGGAGTTGCAAAGGCTTTGAGACCCTTCTTAGCTCTTTATACATGCTAATGTTCTTATGAGTCTTGGAGAGGGGGACAGCTTGCTGGCATCCCCTTCCCATTTAGTTGAATCCTGAGCTATCTTTGTGAGGAAGGCCTTGCCAGACAAGGGTTTGATTTGTCCTTCTTGGTAAATACTGATGTCCCTGGTTGGGTCTACCTTTCTGGCTTGCTGGGCAGCCATTGAGGAGGCTGCTTTCTTCTAATGCTGGCAGGATCCCTCCTGTTTTCCTTCCCCGTTCCACAATCTCATAGGCTGCTGGGGAGAGCCTGTGTACAGTTTTCAGGTCAATGGTGTCAGGTAGGTTGAGAAACAGGCCTAGGTCTGATTCTTTGGCGGTACCTACAGCTTGTTCACTCATCTACCCATGGTCACTCATTCATTCACTCTTTTACCCATCCATCCACTCAGCATTAATGTGTCTGTCCAACCGTACCCACTCATCTGCTGAATGTCCACCTGTTCATCTACCCATCAATCCATCCAACAATCATCCATCCACCTACCCCCTATCCATCACTCATATACCCATCCTTTGATTCCTATCTACTGACTTATTCCCTTGTCTGTTTGTCCATCCATCCATCTATATCCATCTACTCACCACCTATCACTCATCTACCCACCTCACTACCAATCCATCTATCCACCCATTCCTCTAATCCCTATCTATCTCTCTATCCATCCATCCATTATACCTGTCTGTTCATCTGTCCGTCCATTCACCCACCATCTTTCTGTCCATCTAACAGCTCATCCCATCTGTCCATCCATCCATCTATCCACCTGCCCACCCATCTATCTACTCACCCATCTATCTATCCATTCATGCATCTAGCATGATATTATGATATTTCTTTGTGTTTATCCCTATGTTAGGTGTTAAGTCCTAAGGATCTTAATATGGATTGTACCTGATCCAGCCTTGGAATGGATCCCAGGGGCTCTCAGGTGTCTGTTGCCTCTGCAGATGTGTGAGATACGGCATGAGAATGTTGCTGCCTGCCTGGGCCTTTTTGTAGCCCCTGGGGTCAGTGCTCTGGTACTGGAGCACTGTGCCCGAGGCAGCTTGGAGGATCTGCTGTGGAACGAGGCCCTGCCGCTAGACTGGACCTTCAAGGCCTCCCTACTGCTGGATCTGATTCGTGTGAGAGCCTCCCCTGGAGCTGAGGGTGATGGGGAAGGCAGGGAGGTGGGAGGTTCTCAAATTCCCCACACCTGAGAAATGTGACAACATGGTAAAAGGAAGGTGAAGCCCGAAGGCTTCTGGGTCCTGTGGGCATTTCATGGTTCTTCCCACTTATCTCAGAGCCCATGTGTCCTCCCCAGGGCATGCGGTATCTGCATCATCGACATTTCCCCCATGGCCGCCTCAAGTCCCGGAACTGTGTGGTAGATGGACGCTTTGTGCTCAAGGTCACTGACCATGGTTATGCAGAACTCCTGGAGTCTCAGAAGTCTCCAAGACCCCAGTCAGCCCCAGAAGGTCAGTTCTGGGGCAGGGCACTGCCAGTAGGATCTGAGATACCTACTTAAAGCCAGTGTTTGTGAAGCAGGGGAGGAGGACAGTTTCTATTCCATGACCTGGAATTAGTGGCTTTTCTGTTCTGGAAGAATCTGAGGCCCTTGACCTGGGAATCCAGGAAAATAGATGAACTGAGGTCCTCTTGGGTGCAGAGAGTGAAGGCAGTGTAACCCTTTCTTGTGATCGTAGAGCTTTTGTGGACAGCTCCTGAGCTGCTCCGGGAATCCCGGGGGCCTGGACGGGGCACCTTCAAAGGTGATGTCTTCAGCCTGGGCATCATCCTGCAGGAGGTACTGACCCGAGGCCCACCCTACTGCTCCTCAGGGCTCTCAGCAGAAGGTACGGTTTCCTCCGCCCCTCCTTGGCCTGCCCCTGGCTGCCATCTTGCATAACTGGGAAGCTCTGTGACCTTCAGGATATCTGGGCACATATCTAAATCCTGACTGTGAGAACTGGGTTCCCTTACCTTCAGCCTGGCAGCCTGCAACAACTTTGTCAAAGTGGCAGATGACCATGGTCTCTGACCATGTTGGCTTCCAAGTGCACTACACTCCCTTCCTTCCTCTTCCAGTGCCACACGCACCTGCAGATGCTGCTTCCCAAACCATATCTCCCCTCTCAGCCTGGCACAGACTTTGTGTCTATACAGACCTGTCCTGTTCCATTTACTCTCACATATCACATAACCTCTCTGAGCCTCAGTTTTTTTATCTTTAAAATGGAATTGCGCCGGGCGTGGTGGCGCACACCTTTAATCCGAGCACTCGGGAGGCAGAGGCAGGCGGATCTCTGTGAGTTCAAGGCCAGCCTGGTCTACATAGTGAGTTCCAGGACAGCTGGGTCTACAAGGAGACCCTGTCTCAAAAAGATGAAAAAAAAAATGTGTGAGACACCAAGCCCCACGGCTGACGTGGCCAGGACACTCAGTGTTTAGGGCTTGGTTACCTGCCTGGTGGTGCTCCTTCAGGAACCTGTCTCCGTTTTTCCAGATATACATGTTAAACACACTTTCCCTATCACCACCAGGTCTGTAAATGTTTTCTCTGGTCTGGTCCCAGTCCCCTCCCTTCTGGGCTCTCTGGACCCCAGGCTGCTCTTGCAGTTTTTCCTCCAATGTGTCTGCCCGGTCCCAGGGACCTGCCCCCCAAAGATCTGGGCCCCTCAGCCCACAGGGCAGAGCCGAGCTCACTCTTGACAGATGATCATTTTTAATTCACAGGGACTGCTCCCTTCCACCACCAAAGTTCTGCTCAGTGGACACTTCTCATCCCAGGCTCCAGGCTTAGGGAACGAGAGAGGAGAGGAGAGCAGACTTAGTAGGCCATTTGGTCTCCACTCCCCACATCTGCCTGCTATGGGAAAGATCACCCAGATGGGCTCTGTAGGCCATATGTCCAGGTTGATCATATCATGGCAGGGACCAGGCCACCCTCAGATGGGGTTCAGTCTAGGCCTGCTGCTTCCTGGGGTGTGTTTTCTCCAGCCTCCAGGAGTTCAGGGTTCAGAGTTTAGCTTTGGGGACTTAGCCCTAAGCCAGCTCCAAACCAGTTTGCTTCAAAACTTTGAGTAAATATTTTTTAGCTCAAAGTCTCAGCTTCCTCATCTCTAGCATGGGGACCATGATGCCCACCTGGCAAAGTCACTGTGTGCACAGCTTTGTACTCTAGAGCAAGAGCCTGACACACAGTGGTTTCTCAGTAAAATCTGCCTGAGTGGTTTTAGGGGTGGGCTAATAGGGGTCCCAAGTTCTCTCTCACATCTAACATATTTGAAGGCCTATTTGCATAGGGCTTTTTGTGGGTTTCAAGGCACGCTCTGCAGTGTTCCACTGGATGCCCCTGGGGGTTAGATAATCAGTCTTTCCCAGAGAGAGTTAAGTAAGAATCTGAGGAGCAGCAACTTCTCTGCAGAGAAGGAACTGGGATTTGAGTGAAAGGCCCCTCATCCAGGCTTAGCCCCAAATATCTGGAACCACCCCTGATACATCAACCCAGGGCCTATCAGGCCCCTGGGCCAGGTGAATAGCCTCTTACACAGCCACCAGTACTACTGAGAACAGAGATGCATGGGGTATGGACAGTCAGCCTGGCCTGTCAAGGGACCCTTGAGATGAGCCTGGCCCTGGACCATTGTTTCCAGAAGGCTTATAATTGTCAATGTCAAAAATGCTGGAACATGGGGCTAGGAGGATGGCTCTGTAAAGTTCTTGCCATATAATCATGAGGGCTTGAGTTCAATCCCCAGCACCCACATAAAGAGCTGGGTGTAGTGGCACATGCCTGGAATCACAGCACTGGAGAGGCAGAGACAGGAGGATCCCTTAGGGTTGCAAGGTAACCAGTCTAATTGAATTGATGAGCTCTAGGTTCAGTGAGAAATCTTGTCTCAAATAATAAGGTAGAGAGCAATTAAGGAGAAGACATTGAACACTGACCTCTGGCCTCTACACACATGCCCACATGTGCATGCACAGCCCCTTACACATAGTCAGGAATGTGTGCACACACATACCCCCAATACACGGAGAATGCTGGAGCCTCACACTCTGCTATTCAACTTTTGCTATCCCTTGACTGAAGAAACACTTGATGACAGATGCTCCTCTGAAGTCAGCAACACTTTGAAATGGATTTGCATTTCATTCATCACCATGCCATCTGAATACTTTCGAAACACAGCTGCATATGTGTGTGCAATATATTATCACTTCCATCTGCATGCACTTCTTTATAAGCACACACAGCTTCCCAGACCCTGTGGTTTGAGCTCCATGGGATCTGACATGTGAGGCTAGGGCCCTCTAGGCAGGCTGAGTGGAAATCAGGCCTAGTTTTCATGACTTTTTTTACTGGCCTATATGGGTGCTTGCCTTCATCCTTAGGAACCTCCATTTTCCTATCTGCAGTGTAGGGCAGTAACAGCCAATGTGGTAGGAGGAGAGTGAGTTTGAGTACAGCCTGAGCTATATAGTAAGTTCTAGACTAGCCTGAGCTACATAAGGAGACACTATTTCAAAAACACACAATCAGGGGCGGGGATATAGCTCAGTAGGTCAAATGCTTACTTAGTATGCACAAAGCGCTGTATAGTATAAACTCTAGCACAGTATAAACCAGGCATGGTGGTGCATGCCTGAGGTCCCAACTCTCAGGAGACAGAAGGATCAGAAGTTTAAGGTCATCTTCAGCTACATAGTGAGTTTGAGGCTAGCCTGGGCTATATGAGACCCTGTCTCAAACAAAACAAAACAAAACAAATTAAACAGAAAAGGACAGTGATTCCTCATGATCCCCAACAAGGTAACTAAGAGACTGAGAAGAGGCTTTAAGAGACTTCTCCTTTTGGGCTCCATGAGAGGGGGCCCAAGCCCTCTGTGTCCCATAGCAACTCTACTGCTATGTGGTGTAATGTGCCCCATTATATAAGTAAGGAAACTGCGGCTCAAAGAGGTGACTGACCTGTGTAGAATGTACATAAATGACAAAAATCCCATGCTAATCAGGCCTCAAAGCCCGAGCTCAGAACCCAGCCCTTCTTCCTCCCAGTCTTGATACTTGCTGGCTTCCCCAGCTCCCAGAAGCAGTTGTTAGAGTTGGGGAAACTGAGGCATAGAGCGGCAGAGTCAGAGAGTTAGAATGTTGGTTGCTGTGGCCTTGATGTAATAGGATGGTCCTCACTCCATGGGGTGGGCACATACATGTGTATATACATGCATGGAGAGGCCAGAGATCAACCTTGGGTGTCATTCCTCCACCTACCCATGGCGGATGTATCTTGGAGATGTGATGATGAGGGGCCTATTTTCTTCCTTTTTGTGAGGAGTGGATGCAGTCTCAGGGTGGTGGGACTGCTAGGGACTGTCAGGATTTCAATCATACCAGTGTGTGTTGCTGGCCTTTGGCAGAGCCTGCCATCCATATCTCCTCCCTCTGGGCCCTTGGAGAGAAGATGCATACCGATTGCATTTCACAAATGGAGAGGCTGAGAAGGGTCATGGTCTTCTCCACCATCTCATAGAGAGGTGTTGGCAGACCCAGAATTGAAACCCAGATTTCCTAGCTCAAATCCCTGACCACAGCCTGAGGCAGACTCAGGAGAGTAACCAAACTGTGCACTGACCAGCCATGCAGGAGACATGGAATAGAGGGCCTTGGAGTGTCCCCTAGGGCCTGATCCCCCTCTTCATTCCCTCCCCTGGAGAACTCTTACATGAGAACTTGGGGCACCTTGATCCAGAGTACCCATGGGGTTTTCTACAGAGATCATCCAGAAGGTGGTATCTCCCCCTCCTTTGTGCCGACCACTAGTGTCCCCGGATCACGGGCCACTCCTGTGTATCCAGCTGATGCAGCAGTGCTGGGAGGAGGCTCCCGATGATAGGCCAAGCCTGGACCAGATCTACACACAGGTTGGTGCTTCCCAAGAGAGCAGGTACTTACAAGCAATCCCATCCTCATTTGGTCCCCTGCAAACCCTATGCAGTCTCTGGGGCCTGGAGATGACAGGAAGTGAAAGGACACAGGGCAGTAGCACCGCCAGCCTCTGAAAATGCTCTCAGAGCCACCTTTGTGAGTGCCATCCTGTGTGACCCACCTTTTTGGTCACTCCATCCTCAGGGTGGCCCTCTGAAGTACAATGCCATGGTCTTGGCTCTGCCAGACAGAAACGAGGTAGAGAGACAGGTGAAGGGATGTGTCCAAGGGATCTGAGCTGGTTAACTGTGGAGCCTGAGCCAGCCCTAGCCTGTCTGACTGCAGAGCTGCCTGGGGAGCCCAACTCAGAACCGGGCCTCCTGGCATCTGAGCAGAGAAGCCTTTAGTGGCTGTGGAGATGACACTGCTTCCCAAGTCAGTGAGGGGAAAGACTAGAGAGGCCCTGGGGTATCCTCCTCCCCCCAACAGCCCACCTTGAGACTGCAACTGGAGGGCTGGGACAAGCCTGCACAAGTTCTCAGGGCTGTGTGGGCCTAACTGAGCAGGCCAGCTCATCCCCAGGGCCAGCCCATCAAACCCCAAGGGACATCTCTGCCTTTGTTTCTGGTCCCACACTCCCCAGCCACAGCAGCAAGTTACCAAGGTGAGGTTCAGCAAGCCAGAAGGGCAGGTGAGGAGGGACAGAGGGAGGCAGCATGGCAGATAAGGGCAGCCCACAGGGCTCCTGGGAACATTGGCACAGCTCCTCCCACTACAACATCGGGGTGGTGCCCACTTCACAGAAGGGGATTTGGGATTCAGCATGAATGAACCCAAAGGGTCACGATGAGGAATGGGTAGACAGGTTACAATAGGCAGCCAGTTCCTAAAACACAAGGATGAGATCTTCCCGGGGATTAGTGATGATCATGGCTAGCAAGCCAGGGGAGGAGGTACTGGATCTGAATGAGGGGGTCCAGAGAAAGACACCTGCCTGAGGCTCATGGCAAAGAAGGCTGTATGGGCACAACAAACGTAGAACTGCCTCACACCAAGAAGGCCCAAGGTCAGAAGGCCTAAGTCAGCTAAGCCACCATTTCCCTAGGTCTTGGGTAGCATATATACTCTGTTCTCTTAGCCTTTTGTATGTTGGCTAGAAAGAGGTGCCGTTTATGTTCACAGAGTATCCTCCCATGAAGATCTGAAAGAGGCATTTCTCTTTGCTGGGCACCAGCAATGTTTGTTCTTGAGAATAATCGATTTAAATGGGCCTTGTTGGATTGTGTAATCCACATTTTCCTTTTGGTCCTGATGTTTATATGAACATAATGGCCATTTTCTACATGTAAACCTCACTCCTGGATTAACTTTTAAAATAATTTTTAGTCTCCTATGGTCCAAATACCCCCTATATATTTAGAGATGTAGAAATAGTGATGAAATGTATATATTCTATTTATCCATCCATCCATCCAACCATTCATGTTGAAAACAACACAGAATGCTCCACCTATAAGGTTGCTGTGAGGCCCCATGTGATTCCTGCCTACCCACCCCATGAAGTTTGTCCCACATCCCTCTGTGCTTTTTCCACCTCAGGGCCATGGTCTCCTGTTTATTCACTTATCTGCCTCCCACTTCAATCCAGCTCCCCAGGCAGGGACTCTGCCTGGCTCACTTCCAGATTGCAGAAAGGATGCACTAACCTTCGTGGGTGAACTGATAACTATTTCCATCTTCAGTTCAAAAGCATCAACCAAGGCAAGAAGACCAGCGTGGCTGACTCCATGCTGCGGATGCTGGAGAAGTATTCCCAAAGTCTGGAGGACCTGGTCCAGGAACGGACTGAGGAGCTGGAATTGGAGAGGCGGAAGACAGAAAAACTGCTCTCACAGATGCTCCCTCCGTGAGTGGCCTGGGGATGTGAGCGCACCTCTTGCCTCTCTGCTCTTGGGACTCTAGAATGAGAGAGGGGCTCAGAGAACCTGGGCTCTATGACTTGTTCATTCCTACTGTGTGTGTGAGCCCATGCATATGTGGTGGATGCACATACATGTGTGTATATGTGCATGGAGAGGCCAGAGATCAACCTTGGGTGTCATTCTTCAGGGTACCGGATTTTTTGTAGGTTCTTTTTTTAAAGACAGGGTCTTTCCTTAGCCTGTAACTCGCTGATTTGGCTAGGCTGGCTGGCCAGCAAACCCCAAGGATCCTCTTGTCTCTGCCTCCCTGGCACTGGAATCACAAGTCTGTGACACCACACTGAACTTTATATGGATTCTGGGAATCAAACTCAGGTCCTCATGCTTATACAGAAACTTTACTGCCTGAACCATCCCTGGAGCCCTATTTCTTTCTTTTTAAAAAAATTTTATTATTTTTATTTTATGTGTATGCATGTACTGCCTGCATGTAGATAAGTGCACCCATGTCATGCAACGCCCGCGGAGGTCAGAAGAGGCTGTCAGATGCCCTGGGACTGGAGTTACGGACAGTTGTTAGCTGCCATGTGGGTGCTGGGATTTGAACCCAGGTCTTCTGCAAGATCCACCAGTGTTCTTAACTGCTGAGCCATCTCTCCAGCCCCAGGAGCCCTATTTCTTCTTGTTTATCTTATGTATTGTTCTAGTCCTTCACCATGTGCCAGGCACTGTGCTGGGCATACCAGTTTTGAGCTCTTGCTGTCCCATATCATGGGAACAAAGAGGAGGTACAGTGTTCCCAGCTCACTTTAGAGAAGTCAGGACAGATGTCTGTCCAGGGCAGACGACAGAGCAGCTCACCTGTCCCAGATTCCCCGCCTGCTCTACCCAGAACTTTCTCTCTACCACCCTCTACCCCAAGCTGTAAAATTGAGGGTCCTCATCTGTGTCTTTGGCCCCCTCCCATCCATTCAGGTCTGTGGCGGACACTCTGAAGATGGGGGCCACTGTGGAGCCAGAGTACTTTGACCAGGTCACCATCTACTTCAGTGACATTGTGGGCTTTACCACCATCTCAGCCCTCAGTGAGCCCATGGAGGTGGTGGGCTTCCTCAATGACCTCTACACACTGTTTGATGCTGTTCTGGACCGCCATGATGTGTATAAGGTGAGGATGAGAGGAGGCAGCTCTCTGATCTTAGTTGGAGTCTTGACTGGGGAAATTCAGCTCTGGCCCACAGACTCTCTGAGACTGTTCACATGGCATGGCTGCATTCTCAGAGGGAGCAGAGGCATGTTGGTCTCTTGAGCTCTAGCCTGGGATTGGGCACACTGCTTTTCTTGACAAACTCTGTTGGTCAAGGAAGACAATCTGCCCAGCTTGAAGAGGTGAGGGAAGAACATTGGGAGCAGTTGGAGCCACACTGCAGGGGATGTGGGTCCAGAGAGAAGTAGAAAATGTATCTTTTGTGTTTATTTGTTCACTTGTCCATAGTCTGTCTTTCCATCTTTCAACATCTTCATGGGCAGCCCCCTCTGTGCTTGGAACATGGGTGCAGAGACAAGCTGTTTTCCCCCCTGGGAGTGCTCAGTCCTGCAGGTGGAAGATGACAACAGCACCTGTGATAGTGACAATGGGAGGAGGTTGAGGGGGTGAGAGGCAGATACATAGAGAGCTAGGGGCTTCCTGGAAGAGAGGCTCTCTTCCCAGCACTGGTCAGCCCAGGTGAGGCCACTCTAGCAGGCAGTGGGGGACACTGGAGCAAGTGCCCAAGGCTTGAAAGGGTTGTGGGTAAAGAATTCAGGATGGTCACTGTGGCAAGACACGACACAGGCCCACAGTAGGGGTGAAGGTGGGGACAGGCAGCAGGGGGCTTGACAGAGTCATCAAGACCCTCTGCATCCAGTTCTTGTGTACCTCTGGATTGTGGCTTTGGTTCTGGCCTGGCTACCAGCTTTGGGTGTCTTTAGCCAAACACCTTCCCCTCTCTGGTCCTGTTTTCTTAGATCTACGACCCCCATCCTGTGTGTGTCCACTGAGATTGGGAAAGCGAATGGCCTCTGTGGCTCCCATGCTGTAGGAACCCTACCTCAACCCTGCTTCTTATGTTGATCCAGGAACTGACATACCAGGGAAATTCCAGATGTGCTGAATCAGGCGGGGAAGGAGTCCCCCGCATCACCCCACTCAGGCCCTTCTTTGTCTTAATCCCTGTATCTGACCCTGGAGCCTCTGCCACCCACAACCCTCCAGAGAGTGGAACAGCACCCACTGGAAGGCATGTCTGGGAAGGAAGAATCAGAAGACCAAACAGAACAGCCAAGCCTCTATTTTGTTCTCCCTGGGGACCCCACGGCTCCAAGTGCTGTCTGGCAGGCTGGCTGTCTACCCCTGCACCCCCCAGCCCCAGGTGTCTTCTTGAGCCCTGTGCTTTGATCTGCCCTGAGTCACCCCTGGCCTGTCTCTCCCTCTTCTGTTAATCCTCTCTCACACATGGGACCCTCCCAGCTCTGAATCACACCTCAGCTCTGCTCTGAACTCTGGCCAGGAGACCTGCATCTTCCCGGCAGAGGGAAATGGAATCAGACAAGGCCCTCACACCCCCCCAGATGTGAGGAACAGCAGGCCCCAGTCCCTGGGATGTGTGATGTAATTCTCATCACTCCCACCATCTGCCTCTGTTTCCCTTCCATCCCTAGCAAGATCAATCTGGTTACTGCTCTTGAATCCTTTCTGAGCTGGGAGGCAGCCAAGCAGTCACTTCTGATATGGGAAGGGGGTTCCCCCGTCATTGCTGAGTGAACACTTTTCTGAACAGAGCACTGAAAGTAGAGCCCGTGGGGCTCAGGGCCCAAGATGGGGCACATGGCAGGGGTGTGGGTACCCAGTGGGCCTGGGGTATGGAGGTGTGAGGCCCGGGCCATTAAGCTACCAAGCCATCCTGAGCCTTGTCCATGCTCTGAGCCCTAAGCTCCTGTTCGGAAGCCAGGGTTGAAATATTTGCGACTCAGGATCCTTCTGCAGATCAGAAATAGGAGAGAAAGCACTGTTGTTTACCTAGTCAGCAAAATAATGCCCACACTGGTGACATGCCAGTCCCTTCCCTCCCCAGGTCTCCAGGGAAGGTCTGGAAGGGAGAAGCAGTCCCAGTAAGCAAGCATCCAGGGAGGGCAAGCTTGGACTGAAGGTTTCATGGAGTGCCTCATTTAGCCCTATGAGAGCCATCAGTTGGATGGTTTAGCCCTGGGTACATGCAGCTCAGAGAGAGCAAGAACCCCCCTCTAGGTCACATAGTCAGTGGCATGGTTAGACTTCATGTGCATGCATACTAGAGTGCAGTCCTGGCTCTCACCTCCTCTGCTGTGTCTTCCCCTCTGAAGGAGGCTCATGCGTGGCAGGAAGCTATGGCCTCACTTGCAACTGGCTGCTCACCAGCAGTTACCTCTGGGTGTTCCACCTCTGAGGGCCAGAGTACATGCAACCCTGAGCTCTGGAGGGCTGGGCTGTTAGAGGCCCAGAAGGGGAGAACCAGGGCACATGGCTGGCATGTAGGCATGGGGTATCTGTCCTGAGAAACAAATGACTCTGATGGCAGAGGGACCCAGATTGGGGGTACCTCACTCTGACCTCAGGTCCTGAAGTTATGTGGGGTGTCTAGAGAGTAGTGTCCATCCCACAGAGCCTGACTGATTGAATGTAGAGTTGGGGAGATGAGATGGGTGACCCTTAGAACTACTCAGGCTTTGTTCCTGATGCCATGTGTTCAGCATTATGCCTGGGTTTGTCAGCCCATTCCACTCACAGGCTTACAGGCGAGGAAGCTGAGCTCATGAGGGAAGTTCTCTGCCTGGACAAATAGCAGGGCCAGTGGTGGAACCCAGTGATCTGTCTGGCTCCAGAACCTTCTTTCTCTTCCTCCTCCTCCTCTTTTTTAATTTTCTTTTTTACATGTATTTAGTGTGGCAGGGGGAGGCATGTGTGTGGAGGTCAGAGGACACCTTACAGCTCAGTCAGTTCTCTCTTTCCACCATGTGGGTTCCAGGAATAAAACTCAGGTTACTGGCTTGGTGGCAAGCACCCTTACCCACTCAGCCATCTCACCTGCCCCTCTTCCTACTTCTTTTGAGACAAGGCCTCATTACATAACCCAGGTTGGCCTCAAATTTGCAGTAAGCCTCCTACCTCAGCCTCATGAGTGATAAGATTATGGCCCTGTGCCACAGGCCGGCTTAGAACCAAATTTATTTCCAGTAACCTTAGAAGCCAACAGGGTTAGGACACCACAGCTGTTCCTGACAAGTGTCCTCCCCAGATTGAAGCCCTGGATGGTCACTGTGGCCTCATGCACATAGCTCCTTGGATCTGTTGTCAGAGATAGACAAGGCCTGTCAGCTGTCCAACACAGAGGTCACCAGCAGCTCACAGCTCCGATCAGAGCATAGTACCCAGGGCTCCTGATTGATGACTCATGGGGTGAGGTGTGGGACAGGCAACCTGAGCACAAATCTGTCCTTTGCAGGTAGAGACTATTGGAGATGCCTACATGGTGGTATCTGGGCTACCTCGGCGCAATGGGAGTCGGCACGCGGCTGAGATCGCCAACATGGCCCTGGACATCCTTAGCTATGCTGGAGACTTCCGGATGAGGCATGCACCCTACGTGCCCATCCATGTCAGGGCGGGTCTGCACTCAGGTGGGCCTGGACTGAGGGTCACAGCCAGACCAGATCAGCCTCCCAGCCTTTCTGGGGGCATCGGCAGTGGCTTCACCCCAGAGTTTGTGTCCTGACCTCTGGCATGCTGGAACTTTGTCAGAAAGCTTTGTTTCTGGTCACCCTTGGCTGTTTTATGCTAAAGGCCCTGAGTGTTCAGATTCATGCATCTTCTTGTTTGGTTTAAAGTCTTCTGGTCTTAGCCTCGGGTCAAGGGCATCTGATTCCATTTGGAGAAACTGATGAAAGAGGCAGAATCTCCTGTAGTCATGGGAGCAACTAAACAAACATCTGCTGACCTGGGTCTGGGAAAAGCCACAGGGCAGGGTCTCTGTGCCCCTCCCTGGCCCCTCTGTGGGTCCCTCCCACAGGATCAAGTGCTCCTTCTCACCTTGTAGCCTCAAGGCCCTTGTTGACCTCTCCAGCCTCCCCCACAGCTTCCTTCAACCCCTAACCCACACTCAGCTGTGGTTCCAAGTCCTCTGCCTTTGTGTCTGCCCATTCCCTGCCTCTTCATTCATCCTTCAAGACATGGGTCAGTAATCACTTCCTCCAGAAAGTCCCCTGGCCTTCTTGTGTGTCCTTTCATGAACTGCACAGTTGCGTCCTCATCCCAGGGTTGTCTACTCTTTCCTGGTCTCCTCCAGGCCAGGGAGCCCCTATCCCTGAGCCTAGTATATGTGCTGCCTCCTTCAGTGTTGCTGTTGACTCCAGATGACATGATCTTACTCAGGATACGCAGAGGGCATCGTGGTGGTGTGGGGAGGTGACACTGGGACCTCTGTCTGGTCCAAACCTGCTGGAGCTCCCCAAACACGTTTTGATTTCAGGGCCCTGTGTGGCAGGGGTCGTGGGTCTCACCATGCCTCGGTATTGTCTCTTTGGGGACACTGTCAACACTGCCTCCCGGATGGAGTCCACAGGGCTGCGTGAGTATCTCAGATTTCTGTCCTACCCTGGGGGAAGGGACAGTCTTTCCCAACAAGCCCAGTAGACTGGACAGTCAAAATAGTGCTTAGCCACCATGTGACCACCCGGTGGCAGTGTGCACTAGGCAGCAAAGCAAACAGGAGATGGTTTGTGCTCTTTAACTTTCTAAGGAGTTTCTATGATGCTTTCATGAGGGAATTAGAGAAAACAAGGGCTGAAGAGGCAAGAAAACTGGGTCCTCCCCCAGATCTACAACTGGCTTGCCTAGTGTCCTTAAGCAAGCTCTGCCTGTAGGCCTCAGTTTCCCCCTTTTACAATGAGGTAAACCCTTAGGGTTTGGGTTTTTACTTAGCTGTACACCAACCCATTATGCTGTTAGCCCCAACACCATCACGTAGATATCCCCAACATTTTATAGGCCCTTACTGGGGTGGGACTTACTCTGACGGCTTGGAGAGAGCAGCTGAAAACCGCCAAGTCTTGGGGCCTCCGCCTCTAGTTGTCTAGATGGTGCAATGTTGCTCAGTGCACACCGTGTAGCCATACATGCTAGCCCTAAAGGGGTGTACTGCTCCAAAGAGGACAATTAAACCCACTTATCTTCTCTGACTCAGCCTTCAAAGACTTAAAGTAAACACTCTGAAGTAAACGTTCTGTTCTTAGGGAGCCTGACTTCATCCTGACCTCCCCCACCACTTAATCCATGAAATTTGTTTTTTTCTTGGAGCCTGTTTTAGTGACTGTCTAGAGGGACAAGGAGAAAGGAACTGTGCACATCATAGTTGTACATGTGACTGGTTGGCTCTGGAGCCACTGTTCTTAACATGTCACCAAATAAATACGCGGCATACTGCTACCAGATAGGGATTTATTTCTGCCTTTTTCCTCAGCCTACAGAATTCACGTCAGCCGAAGCACTGTCCAAGCCCTCCTCAGCCTTGATGAAGGCTACAAAATTGATGTCAGAGGTCAGACTGAGCTGAAGGTGAGGGACTTTCCTGGCCCATGGGGACTGGTTTCTGGGCAGCAGGAGAAATTCTCAGCCTATCAGTGTGACTAGGCTGTGTGAGTTAGGGGTGTAGGTGAACCTCTCTCCTCCCCACATTTGGAATTGGGCAACATTTCTTCCTGGGTCCCATTTGGCTCTGCAAGGGGAAGAGTCAAGGCAGAGAAGTTGTGTCCACTGAAGACCTGCCAGTGCCAAACACACATGACATGTTAACCCTTTACAGCACTCATGGAAGGAGTAATGCTGACCCTGCACTGTGGTTGAGGAAACTCGATTAGAAAGGCACAGGACAGCTCACAACTGGATCTGACATCTCCAAAGATCTTGGCTTCTCTATAGCATGGTTGGGCTCCTTTGCATCCCTCAGAAACCCAGCTCACATATCACCTCTCACCAAAGCCTACATAGCCCAGGAACACCCGTCTTTCTTTCTCCAAACAGTGGTTCTTATAACATCTCTGTGCTCCATTAGCTCTGTGCGTGGCTCTCCACTATTACAGTGTGATACTGGGCTGATCTTGCTCAGGAGCACCTCCAAGGCTGGGAAAGCCTTGGACCCCTGCATCTTTTTTATGCTAATGCTTGATGAAGGCAGTGAGTCCTCCTATCCCTCCTTGTCCTCACTCCCTTCCCCAAATTCCTCTGCTAGGGCCAGGCCTGGCTAAGAGGCAGAAAGGACCTAGTTTAAAGGCCCTCAGGGCTATGATTAGACCTAGAACCAGGCACTCTCTGTGACTTACCTCATGACACCTTAGGATGTTGCATTAGGAGATACAGCCTGGAGTCAGCAGTGTTGAGGACATGGTCACACAGCCCTTGAGGGGCAGGTGTCTACCTGTGGTACTCAGTGAGCCTGGAGCAGGTGTGTCTGGCTTGGGGGCCAAGGGTTGTTGTATCCTATCCTGAGATACAGAGGACTTGGTTGTCAGAGGGATTCAGAGGGGTGGGTTAAGACACAGGACCTCAGTGTCTTCCTACTCTTTACCAACTAACCACGGGGAGGCTGTCAAGTTTTCAACGGAAGCCCAGAGAGAATCACACATTGTGTATGCCTCTGTTTGACCCTTAGCATCTCAGCCTGTCTTCATTTGTCTGGTAAGCATTGTGTTGTTTAATTATCATGATAGATTTAGGAGATACGGAGGAAATGAAGCACTGAGAGGTGAAGAGGTGAAGTAAGTCGGTCAATTTCATACAGCTGTTAGGAGGCAGAGCCAAGCCGAGACCCAGGCTGCTCTCCACAGGGACCCAGGCTCAGCCTTTGAGCCTCCTCAACTGGGAAGGTTCCACAGGGCCTGGGTCTCTCACTGCCTTTCTCTTGTTCCAGGGGAAGGGCGTGGAGGAGACCTACTGGCTGGTGGGGAAGATGGGATTCCACAGGCCCCTCCCCACACCTCTGTCCGTCAAGCCTGGGTGAGTGAAAGGGATCCCCCAAAACAGGGCCCCTCCATTCTTTTTCTGATTATTAAAGCATAACCTGCCCAGCAGGAAAGACTTGGAAGATACATAACTTGACTAGTAAGATTTGAAGGATATGGAACTTGGCCGGTACTTAGTAAGCACCATTTTTGCACAGCTGGGTGGCAGACATGTTGGCTCCACAGCCTAGCTCCAGCAAGGCTGTTTGGATGCATTTGGAGTCACTAGAGTGCTATGCTAGCCTGAGTGAGCACTTCCTATATGCCAATGAAAGCTGCAGAAACAGGAAACTTGTGCCCTGTGGGGATAACACACACACACACACACACACACACACACACACACACACACACACCATTATATGTACAGGCGATCAAAACACATGTACAAATAAAATTATTAAAAAAAGAACCTTGAAGCTGGGCATGGTGGTACATACCTTTAATCCCAGCACTCGGGAGGCAGGTGGATCTCTGTGAGTTCAAGGCCAGTCTGGTCTACATACACACTCACACTCATGCACCCACACAAGCATGAGCCCAACCTTCCTCAGTGCTCAGTACCAAGGGTCTTTCTGTTCTGAGCCAACCAGCTGTACCCTTGATGGGTTTCTACACAGATGGGGCTCATAGATTGAAGGGATATCCACCTTTTAGGGGCTGTGTAGAGAGTGTGGGCCTCTGAAAGCACGGCATACCTCTGCCCTCCATACTTTTGGGTACCATGTTGCTCACTGAGCATCATGTGGAACAGTAGTAGATTCTTCTGCTGCACTGCCCTTGCTCCCCTGCCCCTATGGGCAGCCTGTACAGGCAAGGGCAGCAGGCACAGGCATTACCAAGGCCCAGAAAGTCTTGGGATCACAGAGGCCAAGGGCTCAGTCCACCAGTAGAGTCTGGGCCCAGAACATGTGGGACCCCTCCTGGGTGACACGGCATTGGGCCAAAATTCTCCCTTTGTCAGAACCTCTAACTGGCTCCTCTGAACAACTTCCAAGATGGCCCCACCCAGCACCCATCCACAGCTTCCTTCTAGTAGACACATGGTCATGGGTTTTTAGACTGCTTCCTAAAGTGCACTTGAGTCTCCCACCCCAGGGCCTTTACTCTTGCTGTGACTATGGCTTAGGATACCCTGCTGCTTCTTTTCTTTTTTTTTTAATAGTTCATTTACTTGTTTATTTTATGTGTATGGGTGTATTGTCTGCATGTAGGTAGGTACACCCATGTCGAGCCCAAGGAGGTCAGAAGAGGGCATCAAATTCCCTGGAACTGGAGTTAAGGACAGCCATTAGCTGCCATGTGGGTGCTGGGAATTAAACCTGGGTCTCTGCAAAAAAGAACCAGTGATCTTAACCGCTGAGTGATTTCTCCAGCCCTAAAAGATACCCTGCTTCTTTCAAATAAATTTTCTTTTTTAATCATTGAGCATTACCTTAAAAAACAATTTACAATGCTGGGATTGAACCAAGGGCCCTGCCCTGACTAGGCAAGTGCTCCCTGGCTGAGCCACGCTTCCACCACCCTGCCCCTTCCTTCTGAGGAACTCTGATCAGACACACTGATGGAGCCCTGGTATCACCCTCCAGCCCATTGTCCTGCATGACTTCTAGTCTCCCCAGAACTCATTATATCTGACGCTCCCATGTGCAGGGGTATGCCCTGCCCCATTAGTCTAGAGAAATCCTGAGAGCTGGTGCATGTGTACATGCATCCATCAAGGCTCGGGAGGACCCTGGGAATGCGAGCTCTTGACCCCAGCCCCCTCCTACCCTGTCACCAGCCAGGCTCTGTCCACATCAGCACTATGGGGGATGAGAGAAGCCCTACTTGCTCCTGGTCACCCAGTCCCAGGATTTGGGACCTCAAGAGGCTGGCTGCCCTAAGTTCTCAGTCGATGACTTTCCCCAGACAGAAACTTTAGAAGGTGCCAGAAATGTTTCCATCTTCTGGTTCAGGGATGGAGGAAAGTGGAGCTTAGCTGCAGGGAGAATCATGTGACCCGGGGGCTTCCCTGAACTCCTCCCAGGTAGGCAGCGTAGAGTCTGTGCTCAAAGCCTGCATGTGAGCTGGCAGGGGTGGTATGATGCCCACACATGTTCCGACACACAGCACATATGTTTATACACAGTATACCCAGAAGAGGTCAGGTGGGGGCCAGGAACAGAAGCCACACTCCAACCATGTCTTTGCCACCAACCCAGAAAGGACCCCTGTGACAAATCAGGGAGACACCCCACAAAGCTCCCCTTATTCTCCCCCTGCCCTTGCCAATCAGGCTCTGAAGTGTCCCTGAGGTGAGGGCTGGGAGTGTGGCTCAGTGGTAGGGTGCTTGCCTAACACCCCCAGAGTCTAGAGATGTCCCCTGTTGGTTTGCTGTGATGTCTTGGCTGTCTCTCACAGTCCTGCTTCATTCTTTGGATCAAAGCAATGCCTGGGTCAGCCTGCTTCAGGCACTGTAGGCAGCGCAAGAGAATGTGAGTATGTATGGGGTTGTCTAGGGACTCCCTTGCCTCAGTGCATCCCGGCCTCCCTGAGCCATATCCCAAGTAGGGGAAGGAGTAGGGCCCAGAGGACTCAAAGCCACACAAGTAGATGAGGAGCCACTGTGTTGCTGTGGAAACAATGTCACCTGTTAGAGCATCGGGCTCCTATAGTCCAAAAGCGGGAAAGGTCAAGTCAGTGTATACATGGCAGGCTGCTGGGTGTCAGCACAGGCAAGAGTGGCAGCTCTAGATGATCTGAAGCACCCATCACTGTTATCCTGGGTGGTCCTTTCTGATTCTTTTTCCTTCTTCCTTAGAGACCCCTGGCAGGACGTCATAAATCAAGAAATCAGGATGGGCTTTGCCAAAACCCGCCAGGGCCTGCCTGGATCTGGGAGCTCAGGGGAGGCCAGGGCCAGCCCCTAAGGAGAGGTGAATGGGCAGGAACCAAGGCAGTCCAGATGCCCAGACCACCTATTCAGAAAGACCTATTCAGCTCCCTGTGACCTGCCACCCATGAGCAATATGACCTGGTGCCTTCCTGAGAGACTCCTTACCTTTCCACAGGAAACAATAAAAATAGAAACACTCCCTTCTGAGTGCTTACTCTGTGCTGGAGAAGTCATTTTGAAGCAGACTGCTTACTGTTCCAGAGCTCCTGGTTGCTTATAGAAGACCCTGTCCCCACCACATGACTGAGGGGTGGCAGCCAGGGTGAGGGGTAAGGAGGGCTCTGGTCCCAGTGGCACAGCTGTTTTGGGCAAAGCAGGAACCAGGCAGGTACAGGCTCCTTAGGGTCACAGGCTCTTGTCACAGCACTCCTCGGAACCCTGTGTTATTGCATCTAAGATATCATGGGAGGACTCTTCAAGTCCCTAGTATGGGGCTCAGGCCACAGGAAACATTACCCTGGGACCACTGTGCTGGGAGTCCAGTGTGTGCTCCCAAAATCTCCTGGGGCTTGGAGTTGGGGTTGAAAATTTCTTAGCTGTCAGGAAAATGAGACTTCTATCATTCGGAAAGAGGCAAAACCAAAAAAACTCATTAAACTGCACATCAAAGAGAGCTCCTCAAATCCCTGCAGGTGGTTTCAGAGTCAGGAAGATCGGGTGCACATGTAACTCATTTCCTGACTAAGGGGAGAAGCCTGAGGCCCCACTCATTCTTCAAAGATGAGAGAGAGAGGGAGAGAGAGAGAGAGAGAGAGAGAGAGAGAGAGAGAGAGAGAGAGAGAGAGGAAATACTTTGACTTGGGATCCCTGGGAAAACGTGTTTGGGGCCACCGAGGCCATATTCCCACCACCTGGCCCTCCTTACCTGCATAAATTTGGGCCTAATCTTTTTGTGCCTCAGTTTCCTCAAATGCAAGACAGGGTGTCGCCCTTACCTCCCACATCATGATGAGACTCAAGACCTTGTCAGCCTGTGAGTGTGGAGTAGAGAGGTCCTGCTGTGTGTCTGTAACACATGGCTACAGCTTGTATAGTATAGCCACTGGGGACCTGTTTCCTCCGTGGGTCTGTGTGGCTTGCTTTAGTGGATCTTACATGAGGCTTTCATCTGGCCTGAGTTTTTCCTATAGGTGGTCAGTGAGGCCCCATGTGTCCTTGAACACACAGAGGGACACAGAAATGCACATGGTGGGGACACACAGGAAACAGCCACCCAGGGTTCAGCAGTTCTTCCATGAGATAGGTGGCCTGAGTTGTCATGTGGCATCTCTGGGCCTCACTATACTATAGAGACCAGACACCCTTCCTGCCTGGCCAGCTACTGTGAGGTCAGAGAGGGCAGGGAGCCCAAGCCACACAAACTGAGGCTGTGGGACAGACATGACTTAGAGTGTACATGTGTATGACCTGACCCATGTGTCTCTGTGGAGGCGTATGTAGACATCAAAGCACAAAGGACCCCTGGGAGACAGGTGACAGTGAGCCTGTGCCTGTGGATGTATGTGAGCTGTGACTGTATGTCATGCAAACACTGTGAGTCTCTGTGTCTGTGCACTGTCGTGTGGATCTGTGTATATGTATTAGTGTGTCTGTGGTCCTGACAGTCTGTGAGCATGACATCAGCATGCAGTTATTGTCTAAACATATGTGTAGGCCCTTCTGGGAGCACTAGTGCAGCTTGTATCTGTGTGTCCTATAACATGTGTCTGTGCATGCCTACATACATGTCATGTCTGGCATGACTCCAACTGTAGGCTTTCATACCTGAGCAGCACAAGAGAACGGCCAGCCACCTGGTCACCTAAGAGCTGCCCACACTGAATCCCAGGCAGCTGTTCTCCTGACTCCTATGGGAGAACCTGGGGGCTTGGGGAGACTCTCTCTAAGGTTGGCCCATGGAATATAAGTAGATATGTAAGTTGGCCCCTCTAAGGTTCCCCTACCCTAGCCTTCCCTGTTATCCAGAGGTAGAGGGGGGCAGCACCCAGTTAGGAGTGGGGTTCCACACCTCCACCCCCCCCACATGCCCTGCCTGCTCCCTGCTTATAGGTCAGGCCTGCCCAGCATCTTCCTACTCTTTAGCTCCACCACACCCACCCTCAGAAGTGCCGTTTGCCTGTCTTAGAGACCAGGAGATGGAGAGAGAATGCAGGAGGGTGCCCTGTCCCTGCCCAGTCCCCTGCTTCTGGAGGTGATAACAGTACCAAAGGGGCCAGAGAAATAGCTGTGATTCCTGACAGGTCCCCAGGGAGCGGCCTCGGGGCACATGGCTTTCTTCTGCAGAGGAAGGTGGCCTTTGGAGCTGGGCACAGCAGCACTGGGAAGGAACCAGCCCAGCATCTGCATAAGCTTCCATGCACATGCTCAGGTGAGGCCTGGAGATGGGCTCTGAGCTGACTTTTGGTGTATAGAGGCCCCTCTGTCCCACCAGCCTGAGCTATCCGTCTATCTCTTGGGGTGGGTTCGCAGTGATGGGCTATCCTGACCTCTCTAGACAGGATCACACACTGCCAGAGCTCCTAGTAGAGCCAGGTGATCAGAAGCACTTGGTCCTTGGTCCTGCAATTGAGCATAGTTTGAAATGGATGACTTGGAAAACGGCAAAGGCTTTAACTTGGCCCCCAGGCCCTGAATATGTGAACCCCACCACAGGCTCCCAGCACCCTCAGCTCTTTTGCTGTGGCATACTCTTCACTCTCCCCCAGACCCTAATGCCACAGCTTTGGGGGCTGACTGCTCTTGCAGAAGACCTGGGTTCGATTACCAACACCCACATGGCGGCTACAAACCGTCCTTAACTCCAGTTCCAGGGGAATCCGAAGCGCCCTTCTGACCTCTGCGGCACTTCACGACACAGGTGCACTCACATACATGCAGGCAACACACTCATACACATAAAATAAATAAATAAAATAAAAAATGCCACAGCTTTGTTCCCACTGCTTTCTACCTACATCATCTCAGCCATTTCCAACACTCAGTGAACCCATACACACCCTTCAATGTCCCCTGAAAAAGACCCTTCTCCTGCTACAATCTCTTCCTTACCCTTCTCTGAATGGATTAGCAGGTGCTATTGGTGACCTCATGGGGCAACAGCCTCATTCAGCTCATTCCTTTAGGCCAATGATGGGGGCAGGTATGAGACTGAAGGAAGGAAGGGAAGGAGAGAGGGAGGGAGGGAGGGAAGAAAAATGAGTGAGCTAATTAGCCCACAGGCTTCTTATGAACAAGCCCCCCTCTTGCCGTGGCCACCTGTCTGGTTTGTCCTCTGCAACTGGGCTGCTTGGGCTAATGCTCATTTGGTACCCAGCAGGCAAGCTCTGCAGCATGTCAGCTGGCTTTAACCTGTCTTATGCAGCATCTGTTCACCACACCTCCTGCTGTAATGGTCACATCTCCAGCCTCAGCACCTCTAGCTCTTGCACCAGCCTGGGTGCTCCTTATCAGAACCCTGCTTCTGGACTGACTCCTCTTCCCCTTCAGGTCTCTACTCTCTGCCACTTCCTCCAGGAAGCCTTCCTTGAAGCTGTCTGTCCCGCTCCTGAGTACCTTTCCAGGGGCACCTCCTCTAGCCCCTCAGCCCCAGCCACTCTGACTGCACTGATCTCCCTGTGTGTGCTTCACCTACAGACTGAGGCTTCCTGGGCTGGGCTGGGTCTAAGCAAAAGTCAGTAGAGCAATAGAAAAGGAACCTAGTAGGGCAGAGGAGGTGGAGGTGGCTTCAGTGGCTAGGTGAGCATCAGTGTAAGAACACTAAATGTGTGTGAAAGGTTTCTCAAAAGACCATTCAAGAAGGCTACACTCCACAGGAGGCAGTGAAGTGCTGTGGGGCAGGGACACACATATTGGGCATTTGCTGTGCACAGTCTCTAGTGGGTCCTGAGGAGTGGGGCCCACAGCCCACTGAGGAGCCAGGGTCCCCAAGAGACTCCTGGCCACATGTGTGCCTAAGTTTCCATAGGGCTGTCTTGCCAGTCCTGGCTCCCTTCTGAGAGTCGGTAAGCCCCTCTTCCCAGACTTCCTCACATATACATCCCTCAGGTTCGAGGCTCCAGTTTCCCCATCAGGATAAAGACAGACGTGGGAAGAACCACGTGATCTCTCCCAGAGGGTTTCTAAGAGATGAGAGTCTTCAGAGATCCACTAGGGGGCAGGCAAGGCATTCCAGAGAAAGCAGGAGCTCTGGGACTTTGGCGACAGGCTCTGACCTGTCTGTCCTGCCTGGAGAGGCACAGGGATGGTGGACTCACTACCATAGCAGCTTGCTTGAGGACTCTACCTGACCATTGAAGGACAGTGAAAGATTGCAGGTCTCAGTGTCCTGTCACCAGGAAAGCCTGCCCTAAGTAGACATGTGTCAAAGGGCTTGTGGAGCCTCCGCTAGTCAAGTGTTCTAACAAATGGCACACTTCCCAGAAGTCCTCTTCCACTCATGACTTGGACTTTACTTCTGGGGCCCAGACCTGCAGACATCTCCTTGTTGGGGGGCGTCCCAGATCTCCCCAACTATGGGTGCCTTAGCCAGATGGGGTAGCATCCCCACCCTCATCCTCCTGTGACCCCCTTCTCTTCCTACCCTACAACTAATTACCCATCCCAGCCAGTCCACTGCAGTAGGCCACCTATCCTTTAGTCTTAGGGCAGTGCTGGGGATAGAACCCAGGCCTGGGCACATGCTAGGCAAGCACTCTGTTACCCAGCCGCCTTTGGGCCCTGATTTTGCTCTTGTCCAAGCCTCAGCAGCATAGCCCTTGCAAGGGTAGTGATCTTCCAGCCATTCTCCTGCCTCCGTTCCATTCCAGCACAAATGCAGCTCAGACCCTTGCACATCTACTTAGCACGTGCCCATTGCTAGCAGCCAAGGTTCTTCACCAAAATGCTTCCAGGCCTAGAGAGATGGCTCAGTGGTTAAGAGCACTGACTGCTCTTGCAGAGGACCTGGGTTTGATTCCCAGCACCCACATGGTGGCTAAGAACCATCTGTAACTCCAGTTCCAGGGTATCTGATGCCCTCTTCTGACCTCCATGGGCATTGCAT